TGTGTGTGTGTGTGTGTGTGTGTGTGTGTGTGTGAGTTGTAGTGTGTTTAGAGTTTTGATGTTTGATTGGATTGTAATTGTTAGCATTGATGATATTGATTATTTATTCGTCTGGTTTCGGGTAGGGGATTAAGTAATTTTATTGATGAGGTTGTGATTTATAATTTATGAAGCAGAGTATCACTGGTGAAATAAAATGTATGATTATAGAAGAACTTTAGCCCAAAAAAATAAAAATTTTGGGAAACAAAAAACAAAGGGAAAATGATATGGATGGAACTCTGAGATCATCTTGTGTTGTTTAATTTGGGATATGATTTTTAATTGATTTGAAGTTCCAAAATATTCAGTTTTGGACACAAAAGAGGCAGGGGATTAGTTCTTTGCGAGCCATTTCAGAGTGATTGACTTGTTGAAGCCACCTTAATTGAGCTATAAACTTGTTATTCTTGAAACTTGTGGGAGATAACTGCCAATGCTCAAATTTGGACAAGGACCATCATATGCCTCAGAGTTCATAATTGGTGTTCTCAGATTATAGTGAATGGTGAAAAGATCTTGAAAAGTGAAAATTTATATAATTATGTGCTTATGATAATTTGATTGAGCTTTGTATCCAGTAAAAAGCATTTGTTGTTGATATATACAATGGAGCATATTATTTGAAGAAGCTGATCATTGCTTAGCTTCGGCGACTAGTGTGCATGCACGCACGATGTGAATATCTTTGTAGTTTCTTCTCATAGTGTATTACATTCGTAGCATAGCTTTTAAATTAGCTACCGAACAAGATAGAGTATTACAGCTTCAATCATAGAATTCAGGAGGCATTTTAATTACTTTTCACAACAATTCCAGCCTTCATAAAAAATAAAAAATAAAAAATAAAAAATTGTTTGTGATTACACACTGGTATACGATGAAACACACATTGATTTTATCCCGGATCAAATAAATATGCAATCATTTATCGCTTGAGTTTCTTCGAAATGTAATCGACTAGAAGTGTTTATTTACTTGATGATGCTACCAGGGAGTGTTGAAGAATCATGGTTTGATCCTGCTGCTGTACTTGAATCTGACTGTAGCGATGAAGATTATCAAAGCGTTCCCGATGGTATTTTGAAATATGATTTATTTTATTCGCTACAATTGAATATTGATGCTTCTTGTTAAACTTCAAACATGATTTATTTCTTCAGACGTGCTCTCTCTAAGTGGCTTTGATGGTACATCCATTTCTCTGAAAGATGGTGATGCCAATTTTCGACGTGTTTCTTCCCTTGAACAGACAGGGGACTTGTCAATGGGGAATTCTTCTCGTGAATCTGTCAGCGGAATAGCTAGAAGTTCAATTCATTCCAGCTATCCCGATTTCCAAGTGAAATCTGATGAACCACAGATAGAGCCTGTATTCATTGATGAAATCTCGTGCTCAGCCGGAGAAAATGCTGGCTTGTTTGATAATTGTGGAATTCTCCCGAGCAACTGTTTGCCTTGTCTTGCTTCTACAGTTCCCTCAACTGAAAAGAGAAGATCCCTAAGCACTAGTCCTCCAAGTGCAAGGAAAAAGGCTGCCTTGAGACTCTCCTTCAAATCGAGTGAAGGACATCCTGCTTGCATTTTGTGTGAGTACAAATGAAACTTCTTCTCTTTGTATTACAGACTATTAGATCAAATACTCGGATTTTCAGTTTTGTCTAGATCATTTCATAGTGTTGATCCTACCACATTTGTTCCATAAAATTTTATTTCTTGATCAACAGGAGAATTAAAACATCTAATATTGTTCTTACCTACTACTGTATTGTGTTATTACTTCATCGAATCAAAGTTTCAGTAATGGAAGTCATTGGCCGAGGATTTAGATATTTTCCTTTTTCTGAACCTCTCAAAACAGCGCCAATTCATTCACATTAATTGTGTTATATGAAATTTGAATGTCTTTTCTTTGACGACTTGCAGTTTCATCAAAGGCACTTCTGCAAAGACCAATAGCCGGTTCACAAGTACCATTTTGTCCCCTTGGGAAGAGAGTTAATGATAGTTGGTCCAACATAGACCCGGGTACTTTCAAGGTTAGGGGAGACACCTATTTCAGGTAAGGAATTGTAGTCATTTTTTAACATTTTGACTGATAATTTTCCACAGGTGACTTTATGTCCGTAAATCTTTTTGCTGCTTCCTATCAATAACCGTTTTTTCTACGTTTCTTTCAAATGGAACAATTTCTGTGCAGGGATAAAAGGAAAGTGCTTGCCCCAAATTACGCCGCATATTATCCTTTTGGCGTCGACGTATTTTTATCTCCGAGAAAAATTGATCACGTTGCTCGGTTTGTGGAACTTCCTTTTATGAATTCTTCAGCGAAGCTTCCACCCATTCTCGTTGTGAATGTTCAGGTATTACCACTTATACTTTTTTTAGAGTGACTTGGATGCAAAAATGGGTTTGGTATGTTTTCTTTACTATATTGCCGATCCACTTGTGAATACAATTCTTCTTTTTTTTTGCAACTAATTCTGCTATTCTTTAACATTTACATTCATTTCGAATTTAAGACGATGTTGTTTCTTAACCCATTGTATCATACGCAGTTGAATGTGATAATTTCTCTCCGAACTCTTTAGCACATTGCTTCTCTATGCTATAAAAAGTAACTGTCTCATTTTATATTCTTTATAGTAATATTGGCATGCTTCTATGGTTTTACAGATACCATTATACCATGCTGCAATGTTCCAGCGTGAAACAGACGGGGAAGGAATAAATTTTGTTTTGTACTTTAAGCTTTCCGATACCTATGCTAAGGAACTTTCGGCCCAGCTTCAAGAAAATATTAGGGTAAGTTGAAATTTATGAATTCAATTTAGTTTGTGTATTCTATGAACTTATATGATTGTTACATTTGTTGCTTGACAAATTCAACTTGATGTCAATTCACATTCAATATGTTTTTTACTATGTTCTTGGAATTTTTGAGTTACTATATTCAATGGCTTGCTTTTTTCCTTTTCACATATATTTTTAATTCTTTTTATTGCAGAGTTTAATTGATGACGAAGTAGAGAAAGTTAAAGGTTTTCGTGCAGAGACGGATGTGCCCTTTAGGGAAAGGTTAAAGATATTGGGTCGTGTTGTAAATGTTGAAGACCTTCCTCTAGGTGCAGCAGAGAGGAAGCTCATGAATGCCTACAATGAGAAACCCGTTCTTTCACGTCCGCAACATGAATTTTACTCGGTAAGTTTGAGCCCGTTGTTCAGTAGCTAATTTCATTATGGAAGTTGGGTTTGTAAGAGACAACAAAAGTCCAATATTCCAAGTGTCTGGGAGATCTATCTTTTCCCTGGGAAAAACATTAGGTCAGATTCGAGGAAATTTTTACATAAAAAATGAGCGCCGTAACTTTCACTAACTAGGAGAAAGTTCTTCGATTTCATTTTGCAGGGTGAAAATTATTTTGAGATTGATTTGGATATGCATAGATTCAGCTACATTTCTAGGAAAGGTTTTGAAACATTCATAGATCGGCTAAAGTTCTGTGTCTTGGATGTTGGACTTACAATTCAGGCAAGTGCTTAATTTTTAAATACTTGATAAAATTTAATAGGTACTTCCCATTCTATTTTATTTTCTTCTCCTTTTCCAAGAAATCTGGTGGACGTGTCATGTTAATATATGCTTTCTATTATTAAATGCCAGGGTAACAAAGCTGAAGAATTGCCTGAGCAGATCTTGTGTTGCATACGGTTGAATGAAATCAATTATATGAATTATCAGCAATTGGGGTCTTTTCAAGCAACCCTCGAGTAGGTGTTCAAAGAGTGTAAGCATCGGGGATAATGATGAATAAATGCATTTTTTTTTGGTCCCTAGTCCTTCTCTCTCTGTCTCTCTCTCGATTTCCAATAGATAAATATCGGCGTGTGCTTTCACATTATCACTTTACATGTATATAATTCTTTATACATGGTCCATAGAGAGTGTAGGAACATCTTAAGCTCAACGAGATGGCTAATTTGATATATCTTATACTGTTGCTCTCTGAAGACGCTTGTTTATCTTAATTGCCTATGATTGGAAACATTTATTGGTATTAAGCATATATTTTTTGAATGAATGCTAATAGTCAACAAGTTAATGCTGGTATGTTGGAATCATAGTCCATTGAATTGATGGCGATTGTTGATTTGCTGTAATAATGGTGAATTTCTTTTTAAAATCTGAATATAGAAAATACTTGGGTGCACCTCTGATCTAAGAGATTTGTATGTGCTCACCATTCTACCTTGTATAGTTGTATTTAAAGGTGTAAAGTGGACTGTGCCTGCATTTTAGGCCTTTTCAAAAAAGAAAAAAAAAAAGAAAAAAAAAAGGTTGCTTGTGTGTCTGTATCTGCCTTGCATATCATGTCAAATTATTCGAGCTTTTGTATGGAAAACAATAAACAAAAGTTACATTGTGTTGTCTTTGTGATGTAGGATAGATTGAGAAATATTCAATAGAAGAGGAAAACAATCAGCGGCAGAGAAGAAGAAAACAAATGAAATCAAAAGAAGAAAAAAGAAGTAGACCAGGGGAGGGGGAAGAGTCAAGAGAAAGGGAAGAAAATGTTGGCGGCAGCCATTTCATTTCATCATTTTCATCAGCTGTTCCAACTACTATGAAAAATTCAATAAATAATAAAATATAACCAATTTGATGTAGGATAGATTGAGAAATATTCAAAAACCCTACTAGGTAGTGATGGCAAAAAAAATCCATCCCTCCTTCGCCGGTCCCCACCCCGCATGGGGCGAAAAAAACCCGCTCCCGCCCCGTGAAGAATTAAAAAAAAATTGTTTTGGACATTGTTTGTTTTTGACATTTTTTGTTTCGAGTGCTTGCTTTGGATATTGATGTAGTTAGTTTGAACATTATTTACTTTGAATTTTAAAATTTTGAATTTGTATTTTAACTGGAAAAAAAAAAAAAAAGGAGCAAGCCCATGCTCGCCCCGTTGCCATCTCTACTAGTAGGGATGGACTTGGGCCAACCCAATAATAAAAAAAACATAAATAATGAAAAATTCGTCAATATAAAAATGATGTCTTCATCAACTCTCCTGGAGTGGGAGAAAATTCGACCTTGTCGAGTGGATAAACTTCTACCATGGGGGACGATTTTTCATAAGAGCCAAATATTGAAACTCAACAAATAATGCCAACACCAGTTGCAAATTATCTCCAAGAATACGATTTGACCATGGTGACCTGGGCGTAGGGAAATTTTGCTGATTCCTATAAAGTTCCAACGAATTTGGATCACGCTGTTGAAGTTTCTTTTTGAAAATTCATGGATAATCAGAATCAGGTGAGTCGATCCAACAAAAAAGGAAGTACTGAATTTCGTCATCATTGGTCAATACAACATGTTATCTAAAAGAATATCAATTGTATCTTTGTGTGTTGTGACAAATGGTATTGAAGTAGAAATATCAACATAGGCAGGTTGGGTGTCCACAGAGCTAAATAGAAAAGGACCATCAAAGGAATTGAAACGGTGTTTGTAAGTAATGAAGTTCTCAATATTTAAAGTAGAGTGGTAGCCAAAATGTGATAAAAGATCAATGACACGTAAATTTGGACCAACATGCTTTACAATTTTAAAAGAACCAGTACTACGGGCTTGCAACATAACATAATCCCCAATATTAAATTCAAAATGTCGTTTATGCAAATCATCTTAAAGTTTATATGATGCATTACTTGCTTCAAGTCGTCTATTGATCTCAATATACAAATCATGAAAATAATGTACAAATGACTCAACGACATCGACACACTAACATGTGGGAACATTTGAATAAGGTCTAAAGGCTTCTTAGACTCATAACCATGAATAATTTCAAAAGGACTCATACTTATAAATCAATTCACAAAGTTTATATATATAATTTGAACTGTTGGGACGATCAAATCTCAATTCTCAAGATTTTCCTTAAAAGTGGCATGATTACACAAATCAATAGCACCTTTGGGTTGGATAATGGTACGACATACAACACTTGACTAAGAGGTATCGGGAACAAGGGGTACAATACGTATATTCATGGGAGAAGTTCGAATACTACCTAAGGAGATGTTCTCATTAACATCAAAGTCATCAAATTCTTCAAGTATTGGTTCATAGACTTGGTCTTCTAAACGCTCATCTATTATATTCTTTCGTTCTTCAATGACTAAGGCTCGGCTAGGACATTTGGAAGAGATGTAGCCAAAGTTCTTACAGTTGAAATACTGCAAGTGAGAAGAAGTCCTTTGAATTTCAGAAATTGTACCCTTATTTTCGAACATAGGTGGAACATTTGACGAGAAAGGGCTCCTAATAGACTTAAGAGGAGGCGGTGTTGATGGGATGGGTGTACGGTTGTCACCATTCTTTTCATATGGAGTATCAATAATCAACTCATAATCTCAGGCTAAAGAGTAAGCATGATTAAGAGTAGTGACATCCGAAGGAAAAGCTCTTGCTTAAAATCATCTCTTAGACCTTATCTAAACCTACTTAAAGTCAGGGCCTCATCCCTAATGATATGACATTTTATTCGAAATTTCTCAAATTGAGCAATATACTCAGTCACTAACCGATTCTCTTGTTTAAGGGCAGTTCATTGAGTAAAAACTTCAAAATCTAAGCAACCATCAAAAGTAGAAACATGTACATTAATGTCTCTAAAGAAACACTCCTTATGACGTGGAAGAAAATGAGTACCGTAAAGATCATGGCCTCATTCTCATTCTCGCTCACGAACCTGATCCCTATCCCTACGATCATGTCGAATATATTTTTGACCAACTCGTCGACGACGATAGTGTTTATTATGGGACACTTCAGAATTATCAATATCAGTCGAATGATGAAATTTCTTAAAATTGTTCAGACATCAGCTAGAATCCTACTCTCTTCAAGAGTAGTAGTCATTTGGATTTGAACAACTGCTATTTGACGGGTGAGTGCATCAAATTGCAAGGAGTCCATAGTTAAGGTACTGAAACTAGAAGTGACAAGATGACCACCATACTCGACTTTACGCACTGTATTAGCAGCTAAATGACGTGCAATAGAGAGATTAATGAACAATAAAAGCAAGCAATGGAAAATAACAACTTCAACATTTAACAATTTTTTTTTTTGTATATGTAAATTCAAATATGACAAGCTAATACTGATGATACATGTAAAACCGCAAAGCAGTGGTCAAATACTAGTTAAAATCTGATCGCGTAAAATAAGTGGGGGTAAAATGAGAATTTAACAAATCAGGGTATTCGGTCACGTAAACTTTAGGTAAAATTAGAATAATAGCTGCACAAAGAAATTAATCGATGTATTTTTAAAATATTCAATAGAAGAGGAAAACAATCAGCAGCAAAGAAGAAGAAAACAAATGAAACCAGAAGAAGAAGAAAGAAGAAGACCAGGGAAGGGAAGAATTAGGGGAAATGGAAGAAAACGTTGGTAGCAGCCATTTCATTTCATCATATTCATCAGATGTTCCAACTATTATGAAAAATCCAATAAATAGTAAACATTAACCAATTTGATGTATGATAGATTGAGAAATATTCAATAGAAGAGGAAAACAATCAACAGTAGAGAAGAAGAAAAAGAAAACAAATAAAACCAGAAGAAGAAAAAAGAAGAAGACCAAGGGAAGAATTAGGGGAAAGGGAGGAAAACGTTTGCAACAACCATTTCATTTCATCATATTCATCAACTATTCCAACTATTATGAAAAATCAATTAAATAGTAAAACAGAACCCTACTAGTGATGAGTTTGGGCCAACCCCAATAATACAAACTCAATAATTAAAAAAACATAAATAATAAAAAATTCAACAATATAAAAGTGATGTCCGCATCACTTTGCTATTCAAGTAAAGGAAACTAAAGATCAAGCTCTACAGGGGGGAAGGGGTTTACCACATAAACCCATGTTTCGTAAATAAGAGCTTTTAGGAAAATCGATCAAAGGCTTCCCGAAAGGAATTTCTCCAGTGAGCATGTTATTCGAAAGATCTAACTCCTCCAGTTTTTTCAGCTTCAGGAATTCATTTGGTATTTTACCAGTAAAATAATTCTTTTGCAGCTTCAGCCTCTCCAAGGAAGTTGCATTCCCCAATGACGGGGGCAAATCAGATTCTATGTTATTGTAGCTCAAATCCAAAATTTGCATTGATCCTAATTTTCCTATGGAAGTAGGTATTCTACCTTTGAAGAAATTGTGAGATAAATTTAGGACCTGAATCTCCTGTTGCATCCCCATGCCAATCTGTTCAATTCCAGTTGAGAAACGATTATCTGAAAGGTCAATGTATGTTAATGATCCACCACCAAATCTGGTTTGTATTTCGAAAACCCAATGTACAGAACCTTCTAGCTTGTTTGCATGAAGGTCTATTACACCGAGGTTTACTAGGTTTGTGATCGTACTAGGAATCTGTCCGACAAGAGAATTGCCTGAAACGTTTAGTAAGTAGAGTTCTGGTAGGCCCCCAATGAGCGCAGGTATGTTTCCAGTAAGATTATTGTCTGAGAAATCCATCTCCTGCAGTGAGCTCGAAGTTAATTGCAAATATTCTTTTAATTCGCCTTGAATTCTGCAGCTAGCCAAGCGAATTTGCGACAGTGATGGCAATTTTAGGAGCCAGTCGGGGATCGAAGAAAGGTTTAATCTGTTGAAAGACAGATCAAGCGTTTGAAGATTTATAAGGGAAGCCATTTCTTGGGGCAATGGTTCTTGAATCATATTGTTAGAAATATTTAGTATAAGTAGTTGAGAGAGTTGTCCTAATGAACTTGGTATTTGGCCAGATAATCGATTGCCATTTATATACAACTCTGTTAAAGACCGAAGATTTCCTAAACTGGCAGGAATGGATCCCTCGAGCTTATTATTTGCCAAGGAAGCTCGCTCGAGAGAGGTCAGGTACCCTAAAGAGTCAGGTATTCTACCGGTGAGTAGATTATCGTTCAGTCTGAGGAATCGTAGGATAGGCATTTGCTCAGAGTTAAAGGTTTGTGGAATCTCCCCTTCAAGCTGGTTATTGTTTAGGTAAATATCAGAAATGGCCTTTAATTTAGTTATGGAAGAAGGAATCCTTCCACCTAATGAGTTGTTTGATAGATCTAGCTCTTTCAAAGCCTGCAAATCACCAATATTATCTGGGATATGTTGAGACAGTAAATTGTTTTGAAAGTTTAAGGTTTCAAGATTTGTCAGATTTGCTATAGAGTCTGGTATAAGACCTGTATATCTATTTGAATGCAAATCCAAGAATCTGAGACTTTTAAGGTCTCCAAGGCTTTCGGGGAGAGAACCCGAAAAACTGTTCTCATGGAGATACATTACTTCAAGATTGGATAACTTACCGATGCTTTCTGGTAGTCGACCCTCAAGGTTATTCCCGAAAAGAGAGAGTTTTTGGAGTTTTGGGAGACGAAAACTGATCGATGGAGGAATGTTACCAGTTAGGCCAGTGAGTCCACCGAGATCAATGACTTCCAGGGAACTCAGAAGAGTAATGGAATTAGACAGATAGCCTTTCATACTTGCCTGAACAGGAGTATCATCTGATGAAGTGAAGAAACCTGGGAGATTAATCTGTGTCACTCTTCCAGTTGTATTGCTGCAAGAAATGCCTTCCCATTTGCAGCAGCCATGGCCAATCCAATTCCCGAGACGCCCTGAATTATCTGACCGAATCGCAGCCTTGAATCTTGTTAAACCCTTGAGATCATTGGGATGGCAGGTTTCACTACTAACTTGCCTGGTTTCTCCTGTGCTTATGAGAGTGAAGATCGCAATAAAATACCAAACTTGAGAGCCCATTTGTCTAGACTACACAGATGTTTTTGTTTATCGGTAACTCTTCTCTCCAGTTATAGTGATTATAGAAGATGCAAAAACTTGATTAATAGCAAAACCAGATTGTACAGTGAACAAATAAGTTTCTGAAAGTAACTTCAAAGTTTTTTACTTATAAGTAACTTCTAAGCCCAGCCAAACATATTATCAGTACAGTCGGTTGAAAAATAGCCAATGGGAAAATGCATGTCGGTCAAAGATTTAGCAATCATTTTCTTTTTTCTTCTTTTTTACTTTACAGTTTGTAATGCTGAAAAGCATAAATATGTCTGAATTATGATGCTTTGGACACTTTTAGGTGGTTTAATATGACAAAAAATGCAGATACCTTGGACTTATCCCTCCCAATAGCTTTCATGGAAAACTGAACTGAATCTTAGTCTTTATCCGGTCTCTAGAAGTGCCAAAAGTATATTTAACTCCAATGTTGCACTTGGCATGAAGCTTTTGCTACCTAACTCCTTCATCCCTGGTACATTATCACCTGTCGATACTCCTTTGAGGACATGTGTCCAATTAGCTATGTCTTATGTCGTATTTTGTATATTTTTTCTCAAAATTTTTGATGCTAGGAGGATATTTTAGGAGCACTCTTTGATAATGTGCTGGACATCCCATGTGACGAGTCATATATTAAAAAGTATAAAGTAAACGAATAAATATATAAATATAAAATTTTAATCAGAACGTATGTATCCGTATATAACCTTTTTTGTTATTATAAAGTTACATGTAGGTACGATAAGAACGTATTGTGACTTGTTTGTATTTGTACTTTTTAATTTATTACTTGTGGTATGTTTTCTGATCTCTGTATGATATCACAGCTAGAAAATCATCTATGTATCGATTCATGTCAATTTACGAAATGCTGTGAATTCAAGAAACAAACTGCATGGCCTTTTAAAAAAGGCATGTTAACTAGACTTTCCTCCAATTAAGCATGCGTGTCCGGTGCTTAATAGATGGTTATGGTACATTTCAAAACTAGTTAGGTACAATGAACCTGACCGTGGTCAACATGATAATTTGTTAGTCCTATTATGCTATTTTAATTTAATGTGCTAAACATGTTAGCACAACAGACTACTTAAATTTGAATAATTCTGCTCAAACAGGGAATAGGGTGTCAGTGACATCCTGAGTTGGCAGAAATAGATTGGGTGTTTTTTCCTTTTTTTATTTAAACTGTCCAACCAGTGTTGGACAAGTATATCTGTTTTTTTAAATTCGGTCAAATTTCCATGTTTGTGTAGCAAACTTCCTTAAATTTAGTGATACACTTTTTAATCTTTTTTTTTTTTTTAATCTTTTTGGCTTTTCCCCACAATTAATCATTCTTAGGGTTGGTTTCAATATCCCAAAATAAATAAATAAATAAATAAATAAATAAAGTACAAGATAGAATTCGAAAAACAATTTTAACTTATGTTTGAGCTCCCTTTTTTTCCAAACTAATTTTCCCATAAAATAATTTTATACATAAATCCTATTTTTTAACTACACATTCTTAATAAATCACTATTTCAAAATCTTTTTTTTTTTTCAAAAAATGGAACTCAAAATTCTTAAGAATTTATATTTAAGACTTATACGGACAGAGATAAGTGACTTCTTATTAGTCTTTGACTAAAAGCATCCTTTTTATTATTATGTTTGACGTCAAAATTAACTAACACTTAAAATGTGTAAGAATCTTCGTGTGTTGTAGATTTTAGAGACTGACCTGCAAAAGAATACATAGCGGAGGCTATATAACACGCAAGTTAGTTGAGGAATTTGAATATAATGTGGTAACGTACACAAGTCAATTAAGTGCATATTAAGTAGAGTAATGCTATTCATAAGTTGTGCTTACTGATAAGCGCTACCGATAGATATCACTACTCTATAAAGTAAATATTATATTGTGTATGTTAATCCTCTTATCTCATACATAATGCCTTACTTTTGCATTTAATAGAATTTATTATAATTCCTGTATTTAGTTAATCAGTTACCCAATTCATGCACCAATCAGTGCTGATAAGTGTAGATTCTACACCTATTTTCAATTTTTATTTTTATAAATTTGCGCTAATTAGTAATTATACCTTCTGCGGCCTAATTGTCATTTATTTTTGTTCATTTTAGGACTGGCATGAAGAGGAACGTGTGGGAACCATAAGGAAGCCAATTGGATGAATTTTGAAGACGATATGAAGTTATAAAAGTTCGAGGATTAAAGTGAAGGGAAAAAAATTTCAAGCACTAAAACTGCAAAATTAAGATAGGTGGCAGTTGGAGGGAACCAGAGACGAATTTAAAAAGGTTGAACCCCAACCTTGAGGGCCCCACCGACCCTGCCCTGAGCCATTGTGGAGGAGGTAAATCGCAGGATGTGCCTCCCAGGAGCCAGGGTGGAGAGCTTATGGATAGGTCTTGGGCTTTTAACCCTATGGTAACTCCCGCTTGCAATAAAGCCAATTCCACCTTGCGGAGAATCGAACTCTGCACACTACCGCGCTGAGCCCTAACCGCCCTCCCCTTTGCCACTGGGAGATATGCCCTGGGGGCGAACCAGAGACGAATTTAGAAGAGATTGGGTCTGGCTGTAGCTTTGCGTAAATTTATTTTGGGGAAAAAAAAATCATAAATCAGGTGTATAGTTTACACCAATTCACAAATCAGGTATATATATTATTAAGTAAAAATACTTATTAATTAAATATAATAATAGTCACATATGTATAATTATATATCAGAATTTATTTACTAGTCACATATTATCAAATTAATTAATTATAGATTATTTTGAGGTTACAAATCAAAATTTTTATAGGTCACAATTTTTTTTTATTGGTCACAAATAAAAAAAATTACAGTTCACAATTTATCTATTGGTCACAAGTTTCCAAATTTGTTGATCACAAATTACTTTTCAAATCACAGATTATCAAATTTTAACGTCATAGTTTAATACTTGGTCGCATATAACCAAGTAATTGGTCACGTACACCAAATAGTGGTCACACACCACCGTCCTCAGCACTACCGCCATCGCCTCTGCTCGTCTTCACCGCTATGAGATTCACCACCATCCTGTCACTATCATCACAACCATGACAACACCAACACCACACATCACCACCACCAGATCGTTGCTATCAGATCCAATCAACTGCCAACAAAAATACAACCACCACCACTATCAAATCTTTGGCCACCACCACCATCACCAGCCCCATCAACCACCACCACTAACAATCCACATCACATCACAAACACCACCCAATAAAAAACCCAAACCCATCACGGCCACACCACACGGCCACCACCATCAACTACACACAACCAATAAAACTCCATAGTCAAACCACCATGACGTCACCCTTACGCCACTGCCTGCAGAATCACCACCTCACCTTCACATCAGCAGCGCCCTACGGCTGCCACAGATCCGTCTGAAAATGTCCCCAACACCACCACGCAACACCACTGTCATTCACAAATCCTGTAGTGACCTCCGCGCAGCGCCACCACTGTCAATACCAACACGTCGATGTGTCCAGGCAACTCCATCGCTGCAGCTCCACCGCTGTTGAAAGAGGAGATACCAGACAAGAGAAGGCCGGTGCACAGTTCGAACTCTAGCAGCGGCAAGGGTGATGTTGTTGCCGGCACAGCACAACAGCGATGAAGCCACTGCTCGACTCTTCCGCGACGGGAGCTCCTCAATGACGACGTTGATCTAAAAAACATGGAGAGGGTAGAGAGAGACGAGGAGAGAAGGAGAGGTAGATGAAAAATGATTTAGGGTTTGGGATTAAGCAGGGTGGGAATAGTATTTAATTTTTAAATCAATACCTGAATTTTGATTAAAAAATCTTTTCACCTAATTTTTGCACTCTAAAATTTAAATACCTGGAATTTGTAATTTCCTCTTTATTTTTTCTACGTAATGACCCAACTTAGTCTAGTTCTGAATCGATTTCCGGTGGAGTCCTCAAAGGAGTTTTGCAACTTAATTAGGACCACATGGGCCATGGTAAAGCTAGGGGTTGACCCCTTGTCATAGGTGGAAGGAGAAAATTGGCTCCCTAGCCCGATACCATGTGACCCTGTACAAGTAGCAATACCCGCCCTTGATGTATCCATTGCCCAGGGTAGCCCATGAAGCTAAAGTTGGAAATTATGTGGATTCTCTTGTCAAAAAAACCTAAAAGGAGAAAAAAAAAAAAATGAATAAGAAGAAGAAGAATTGAGGTTTTTGATTGGATTTCTTCAAGTAACAGTTGAAGATTTAGCAAAAAGCTTTAATCTTCCATAAACACTTTTACTCCGGGTGATGGATTATTCATATATATTTTGCTTTTGTCATTTGATCATACTAGGCTAAACTTTCCATTGCTAGGATTTATTACGAAACCATGTGAACTATTTTAATTCGAAGTTGCTTGTTTTTTGTTTTAAGTTCTTTGGGTTGATCGTTTGCTGTTAAATTGTTTTCCATCCTATTATTTAACTAATTTTAGAATTATTTTTCGGAATTCGTGATGAGGTTGAGGATAATTCATTTTCCTAGCTCAAATAACAAAGAATACTAGGTCCTAGATATGTCTATGATTGGTACAATCTAACTTGATATACTAGTTTTGTTTGCATTTTTATCTATTCAAATCCTGCATAAAGATATGGTAGGATCATAAGTTAAAATTGGATAAAATTATATCGAGAAAGAAAATTAGCATACGAGGAATCACTACTTGATTAAAACTTCAAGACTTGCTTATTTTTAATTGGTTATTTAAGTTAACAATTAGATATAATCAGATGCAAACTCAAACAATCAAATTTATGTGTTTCTTGATCAAGGTAATTTTTAAGTTTATTTGACAATAGATAATAAGTCTTCGTAGATTGTAGGGATGACAAAAAAACTCGACAAACCCGATACTCGCGGGGCTCCACCCCGAACGGGGCGG